TCTCTCATTCTGAGAGGCACAATTACTTCTGCTCATTCACCACATCCTCCCCCGAAGCAGATCAGACTTCTCCAGTCCACTGTCTATAGTGCATACCTGCCAGCTAGCGCCTCCCTCTGCTCCCGCACCTCCCTCTCCCCCCGTCTCTCTCTCTCCCTCTCGCTCTCTCTCCCCGCGTCTCATTCCACTCATTCATCCCTCGTTCTGCCAGCTGCAAGGCAGCGAGCGCGGCTGAAGGACACGGCGCTCCGCCCGCACTCGGCGGAGGGACTTGGAAAGCTCGATCCAACAATGGGGGCGTAGATACCCTCAGCGCTCCTCTTCTCAAGCCCTTCCTTTGGGTTACACTCTTTGAATGTCACCGCTGGAAGAACGCTCGGATGGAGCGCTCGCACGTCTACTCACTTGCCCGCTCAGGAACGCAGGACGGCATGAAGGACTCGGAAAGAGGGAGTAAGTCAGGCAGCTTCCTCCTTTCGAGCTGATACCTCAGGTCTGATCAGCTTCTGCACTTCTCGGACCGACGCCGTCAACGTGTCCAAACGGTGACAGGAGGACCGTTGACAGTCAATCTTGAAAGATTCCGCGATTGGTTCAAATGTTGGAGTCAAAGTTCGCCGGCGCTGAAGGAGACAGGGGCTGGATTGGAGTGGAACTGATGTATTTGTTTGGTTAAGAACATGAACCATCCAAACAAAAGAACGCAAGCGAAGCCATTCGGGGCTCACCAGATTGGAATCTTCAACAAGCTCCCGTTTCAGCTGGGCGATTTTTGAGAGCACACCCCTTTCTTGCCTTCCGTCCATTTTCCTTCAGCTCATCGGCCCAAGACAACCGCAGCGCTGTTCCGTCGCCCTGGGTGAACGGGCAGGGGGGTGGCCCGCGGTACCCCCCAAGATCTGGGCGCCAGTGGGCCGCCGGCAGGGCCCGAGCTGGCAAGATGGCCGCCCTTGCCAGCTCCCTCATTCGGCAGCGTCGGGAGGTCAAGGACCCCCAGACCAACCGCCAGATCGCCAGCAAGCGAAAGCCGTGCCCCAAAAGCAACAAGTCGCTCTGCCAGAAGCAAATCCTCATTTTGATATCCAAGGTCCGATTATGCGGCAGTCGCGGGAGAAAAATGGAAAAAAGACCAGGTGAGCTCCACTTTTTAAGCGCTTCTCCTTATGCTCCACGTTTGCCGGTTTCTGACAGCTGATGGTCTCGGGCCAGATGTCAAATTAATCCTGAGTGCAGAGGACATCCATGCTGTAATTTCCAGTCCAGATCTTAATCCCAATCTGGGAATCCGTCCAGCCTCTCTTTCTATTGGCTGCAGACAAGCCAGAATGGGATCATTTCCTGTCTCGGCTGCAAATCCACTGTCCCAATGTGTGCTTTGCATGCCGGTTGGTTCAGCTCAATAATAAAGCAATATCATGACAGTTCCGTTGTAGAGGTGAGTAACACGTGACCTCAGGGGCCTATTTTGTGATCCCTGGAGGCCCGAAGTCTCGCGCGCTACTTTTGCAGGCCTCGAAGGCAAGCAGCACATCATTTCCGGTTGTTTTGCGTGTTAGCATGCTAATTGCACAATTAGCCACTCTAGTTCCGTTGTAGAGGTGAGTAACACGTGACCTCAGGGGCCTATTTTGTGATCCCTGGAGGCCCGAAGTCTCGCGCGCTACTTTTGCAGGCCTCGAAGGCAAGCAGCACATCATTTCCGGTTGTCTAGCATGCTAATTGCACAATTTGCCACTCTCGCTCAAGAAGCTCAATGTCACATTTTGCTCATTTTCAACATCCCGTTCAGAGACATTTGAATCGGAATTTGGACCAGACCAGTGGACTGAAGGAGCATTGACGGATTATGTCCAGTTGAGACACATGACGCCAATGCTAATCAGTGGCCACCAAACAGCTCTGGCTGAAGACTGGACACTTTGTAAGGCAAAGTGAGAGCACCTTGTCTGGGAAACGGTAAAATAGAGGTAAAGTTCAGATCTGAGGCCCCCCAAAGGAAGGGACTCGGCTGATTGAACAGTTTATCATATGTTAGCGTGTTACAGGGTGCCTGAAAGGGTTAAATAGACTATTGAAAGCCAGCTTGCTTTCCCAGTGGATGGATGAGTGTTAACCCAACATTAAACCCACAAATATGTATTTCAAGGTCACAAATGAGCATGTTGTATGTCAATATCGTGATGAGCATTCTTGGTCTTTCTCGATGAAAATGCCGCTGGAGTTTTTCCGGCGTGTCCGCGCGAGGCGCGCTGTGACTGCGGTTGTTATGCGGCCGCGTTTATGCGCAAGGTTCACGGGCGATGATGACGTGGGCAACCTCTAACAGCAGGCAGCATCTGCACCGGCTTGCGTGATTACACTCGTAAAATATGTGGGACAGGTCGCGGCAGTGCAGCGGGAAAGCGGTGACATCGAGCCATTGTTGTGGGGAGCGTCGCCGTCGGCGCTTTTCACACACTGATGGATTTATTATGGTAATGTGGGGACCTGAGTGAGGAGGCTGAGGTTAGAGAGCCATTATCGGGTTGACCGTTTCACTGATGGGGTCTGTGTTAAGTACCACGTGTGGCAATGTGCATCTTCATCATTCCCTCAAGGAGGCCGCGCACGCATGCGGCCGAGACACGGCGGTGACCTCCGGCCGTCGTTTGCGAGCGCTCCTTCCCGCTCGACGCCCCAGCCCGAGGCTGCGCCTGACCCTTTTTCAGCTGGATGACATCAGAATCAATGCGGATGTCATCGGCTTTTTCGAATATTTTGTTTGGGTTGTGTGGAGGTGTCATCGCGCAGCCAAGGCCGCCCGCTTCCGCGTCACTGCCTCGGAAAAGTTTGTTCCAGCCGTTGTTTCGCTGAAGGCCGTTTCAGGTCGTTGGTGCATGTGCAGGTGCGGGCACGGTGCCCGAAAGAAAACTTGAGAGGGCAAATTTTCTTGCTGAAGGGCCAAATTGGATTTTTGGGCCACCTCTGAGGTAAAAAATAATAATCATAAATTTAAATGGTGTTAAACCGCAGAGATATATTAATTAGAACATTATTCATAAATTATAAAGATTCTGAGGCTAAGACTAATACAATATGAGTTTAACTCATATTTGGCTACTTTTAACCCATCTTGGGTTATTGTAACCACCTTTTGAATGGTGTATATATTTTTAAGTAACAGTAATACAACTACTAATAATAATAAGAAGAACAATAATTCAAATTATTTTTAAATCTATTCCTCTATATAAAGTATAATCTAACGATATTCATAATGCAATAAAACAATTACAAATATTTTTCCCATCATCATTAGAATTTTTTTAATATATCAAACAAAATCAAGTAAAATTTATATCTAAAACTAAACTAAATTATATCTACATTTTATATTTTTATACATGTTTAATTAATCAGCTTAATTGCATAAAATGTAAATAGCCACTCATTTTAATTGTATTTTCAACAATTTCATTCCAATGATTTAATGAAATAACAGGCAAGAATTTACCAGTATGTTTTCTCTTATTATTATTATTATTATATTATTTTTTCAATGATTATTGCTTAAAATAAACCAGTGAGATTAAATACTGTAATATGTATCCACTTTTTTATATTACCTCCATTTTAAAATAAATTAAAGCAACCAAATTGTTTGAATTATATAATAATAATTGCAACTCTATGTTCAAGAAATAATTTCCTTGTGACGAACTCATATTTTATCCATCCATCTTTTGATCCGCTTATCCTCACAAGTGTCGCGGGGTCATATTTTAATAAAATAAACAAAAAAAAACCATTTAACTCACACTTTTTCTGTCATTATTTACAATGAATCAATGATGCAATGAGATGAATACGCACACAGTCAAATGAAAATGAAGAAACGCATTCGAGTCAACCACTTCGAAGACCAACTGGCAAATGGGAACGCCACAGGCCTCGTAATAACGCATGTGCTCGGTGGGGTCGACTTTGCCCACTTCCACCTTAACTTTCAGTGCCCTGTGAGTGATGGACGCGTGCGGGTGGGCCATGTGCCGGTGTCCCGGCCTGACCCACATACCTTCCCTCGTTACGCAAGTAACCGCATGCAACCGTGCAAACCACGAGCCCACTCGTCTTATGCCAAGGTCGACTTGACCCGCGCGGAACTCCCTAATGAAGCGCCGCACGCACGTGCCGAAGGCAAAAGGCACATTCCGACGGGCGCGCGACGACATCAGCGGACTGATGTGCTTGCACAAACAAACGATGGGACGCCATGATAATTGAGGAAGCGGGTGCAGAGGGGAGATAATGTTGCCAACTCCCGCGCGTGCGCTCGTGCGTCCGATATGATCTAATGACGACGTTAAGCCGCCTATTTGATATCAAAGCCGAACCGAAATAGCTCGCGTTGTCCTCTGGAGTCGCCGTGCAACCGCGGCCTCGAGAATAACGGCTCCAGTTCTGGTCCGAGCCGAAGCGGGTGGCTCCGTCGCCGCTCGCGTCGTCATTCGTCATCTCCTGTCGTGAACGCACACCGGTCGGTCGAGAATGCGCGGCCGCATTTTCTGGCTCTGTCGAGCATCCCACCGGACGGGACCGCACCAAGCGGCCCTCTTCTCAAGGACGTCGGGCCTTCCGCCCTCCCCGCCATGTTTTCTCGCTAAATCATTTCGTTTTGGGCCACAGATTCCGCAGCTATTGTGTTGCTGTGTTGAATCCTGGCGGCGCCATTGTGAACGGATCAGTGCAAAACAGCGTTGCTGAAGACAGAAGCAGTGTGTCACAATATGAGGGACACTTGCACAACATAACGACACCCATGCTGGAGAAACGACGGCCACCGCATTGCGTTGTGTTAACACACTGCGCCGCCTTGTTAAAAGCTGTTAAAAGTTGATGCAAATATTTAGCGCCTGCAATGATGAACGTGCCTCCCCCACCACCGTCTTCTGGCTTTTTGATTGATGGTTTGTTTTGCCGCAGAATGTTTTGAGGGAAGCGGCCGGGGAGTGTATCAATCATCGTTATCAGATCATGTATTTCTGCTACTTTTTCCACCCCCCTCTTCCAAAAAAAAAACCCCAAAAAAACACTTCATGCCAGGATCTTTAATTTTCAGAGAACTGAGTGCGCTTCAGACTCC